ACACAATTGTGTATAATTTTTTTTCTATATGATTTTAATGTGGTATATTAAATATGCAAAATAGTTCTTTGTGTTTTTACCTTTGTTATATTTTAGCCTTATAGTTGCTATCCACTTGATAGCTACTCTAATACTTAGTCAAGCAATTATTGCATGTAAAAATCGCAAAAACACAATATTGTAACTCTGATTTATTATTATTATTATTATTAAATACACAACTTTTCATTTTCGCTCTAGTTCATGTCTTTTTTTCATTCTATGCAAATCCAAAATATTGATTTCATCAATTCTAACATAGTATCAAATTGGGTTTTATTTAGGGCATGCGATGATTTAATCTACCCGGCTTGCTCTGGGTTGGACCTATGAAATACCTATAAGTGATACGACATGTTGGAATATTACTTGTGAGTTGTTTCATATTGATTCAATGGGGGGAAATAGTCCTAGTTTATAATCCTACTGATGTTCTCGCCACCAATCGATTTTAGGATTGAATGCACCTAAGCTCACTCTCTTATAGTGTGTTCCACCTCTGTGGGACTGTACCTTCTTCCCCAAATCATAACTCTAACATGGTAGTCGAGTAAAAAACAAAATTGTGTAGTTTTTAGGAGAGATCAAAAGGAATTGTGATGCATAAAGTAATCAAGTGAATTGATAGAATGAGTTGATTTGTTGATGTTATTATCTTCCTATCCAACTCGATGAATATATACAATCATAAAAATATGGACAATTAAGGTTAAGAACGATGCTACCAATTTTAAGGTCGAAAGTTATATGAAAAAGCTTTATCAAGAACTAGGCTCGATAAAGCTAGAACGAGCCAAACTGGAGCAAGTTTAGTTAACGAACCTTTGGCTTATTATGACTTGTGTTTGACTAATTAATACCGATAAAGGAGTCGAACTCAAGCTCGTTTATTGATCCGTTTAGTTAATTATGCCAAATTAAGACTCAAACCCGAATTTTAAGTATATATTAGGAGGTAAAGTTAATTCGTTTACACTCCTAATTATGAGACATTCAAATAAGAGATTTGTTAATTTTTTTTATTTTTTTATTTTATTTTATCATTTCCATAATATGTTTTATAATACGGGAAAAGACTACAACCTAATTACGAAGCTATTCAATCCGAATTTTTTACCGCAGATATCTCATGTAGATTAGTATAAATAAATAATCTACATATACAAATTCTCAACGAGTTGTCTTTCCCATTAATACTATGTTCATTTCCACACTCCTTACCATTTATTTTTAATTTTTATATATTCAATTTTTTTTATTTTTTTTTTTTGGGCGGTTAGGGAGCCGTTAGGACCAAGTAAGAAGTGTGTACACACACAAACACACTCACAATTGCATGTGATGCAAAATCGCATTTTAAGACATTAGAAATAATGTGTGGGGAATGGGGAGAAAATTATAGCAAAGGCGTTTACGTTTTGGTAACGTGGCCTTTCCCGATTGGGTGCCCGTGACCGCGATTGATGCCTATTAGTCAATGTACTCATAGTTGTCACTCTCCATTTTTTGCCATCTTGGCCCTCGTGTAAATCAACAATTTAATACTTCTTCCTATTCATTATAAATGTCGTTTTGATTTTTTTGATTCATCTATTTTGTTATGTATCTAGACATCATTTGTAATGAACAGGAGTAGTATAACTTTATAAAATTATTTATTATAAGATGTGAAACTATTAACATCATAATGTCCATACTTTATAAAAGAGAAATTTAGGGTGTGATTATTTTTTTTTTTTCGGTACAGAGAAAGAGACCTAGTGCTCAGTCTAGGACTTGTCGGGGGAGGGACACCCCCATACTATCATTCTCGAGCCAAATCTGCAAGCCAGTAGGTGGAACGGGTAACATGTGAACCCCGATCGGGTACGCAGCCGCATGTCGAGCTATGAAATCCGCCGCACAATTTACTTCACGATACACACGCTGGACCTTTACTACCCATGCTCGAGCAAGAAGGTCACGGATGACCTGCACCATTTGACGATGAAAGCTGACTTCTCCATCCAAGCGAGAGATCAAGTTCGTAACACTCAAATTGTCGACTTCAAGCTCAACTTGTCGGAAGCCCCGGTCCCAAGCTAGCTTTAACCCCTGGATCACTCCCCAAAGCTCGGCCTCAAGAACCGTGCTCGTCCCTATGTTCATAGCAAATCCCACTATCCAACAGCCCGTCTCGTCACGTATCAGTCCCCCAACGCTACTCAAGCTTGTAGTACGAGTGACCGAGCCGTCGACGTTAACTTTCACCCATCTCGCCACCGGGGCCGTCCACCTTACCATGCGTGTGTCATAAACACTAGCCCCAATTTTCCGGTAATCTGCCGCCGCCCTCATATAATTGTCGGAGTCGCTCGCCACCACGTTGTGCATAGCTGTCACGCTGTGGCTCGTCTTAGAAAATATACGGTCATTTCGCCAGGACCACAACCTCCATATTGTAAAGGCGAACACACATCCCCATTGGTCGACACTTCCCAGTCGCGTTGCCAACAGATTCTTCCGCAGCCAGGCGTTGAAATCGAAGCCGAAAAAAGCAGGGAGTCTATCCGCTGGTACGAGTCGAGTCCACAGCGCCCTCGCCGGAGTACAGTCCCGCAAAACATGCGAAACCGTCTCGTCACTTCCACATAAGTCACAGGCCCCGGACGCCGCGATATGACGCCTTACACGTTCGGCGTTAGTTAAGAGTCGCTGCTTCACTGCCAAACATAAAAACGTACGTACCCGCTGAGGCGCTTGAGCACGCCAGATTTAGGGTGTGATTGGTTATTAAAAGAAAAAAGAAAACGATCAAACTCATATTTTTAATTTTAATTTAACTCCATTATCTTTTATATTATTAATATAATTAAATAGTATTAACAATCATTCTGACATATCAAATTTAATTTATTGCTCATTCATTCACATAATTTTATCTAATCATCAATTCCAATCATTTTTCTCCTATTTTTAAACCAAATCACTTTAATTATTTTATTATAAATAGTATTTTTAATATAAATTCAAAATGTCACTAACAACTAACCGTACCACATTTTTCAAAATTAACTATGATAGAAAAAAAAAAATAATAAATCAATCAAATGCATACCAAATGACACCCTTACGAGGAAATATCAAATGACACCCTTGCAATATTGGTTGAAATAGCTTTTGGTGAGTTGTATTTTCATGTAATGAGGGGATTTGGTATAAATTTTAATTTTGTGGTTGTTCCATAATTTTTTGGTGTTTTAATTTGGTACAATAACTTTTAATTTCATGCCACTTTTGCCCTACTATTCACTATCGAGTCACATATTGATTCAAAATTGACTCAATTTATCGATCGGGCTTTTTAATTTTGTCATACGATCTTCCAATCATGGATGAATCACCTTCGAAGCTTATAACCTCGTTATGTTGAAGATATTCATTGTCAAATATTTTACAAGTATATATAACCTTTATAAGAAGATTATTTTCTAAAATTTCGAACTTAATCTTCAGACATCCATTCTTTAAAATAACAATATAAATAAAAATATGACATTTTATATTATAAATATATATTTTTATTTGAAAAGTATGACATGTTGACTCATATAACAATTAAGTTGTGTCACAAAAAATTGATTTCTTTATGATTGAAATATCAAAATATTTTAACCATGATTATGAAGCCAAGTAGCTAAAGAAACAAAATAAAGCATACAAAGTGTAACTAATTTCTCTATTCATCTCCTTTATTAGAATATTAGTTGCATTATTCCATAATGCTTTGAGAGATCATATATATATCTTTCATTGAGAAAAAATATATTCGATAGTGAATTATCAACTATTAACATCAACTTCTATAGACACGCGCAGTTTCAGGCATATTTTGTTGTTTTAGAGTCATAATTTTCTTACCTGGTTAAATTTGACACACACACACACACACACACACATACATTTTTCCTTTCTTTCTCTATTTGAGTGCATGGGTTTAACTAAACGAGCCGAGCTTCTGATTCTCGGTTCGAGCCTTTATCGAGCAGATTGAGTTTGGCTCGTTAGTAAATGAGAACAGAGATGGAAGT